AAAGAAAAGCCTCTAGCTTCAGTGGGCCGGGAGCAGGAGGCAGAGCTGAAGCCCAAGGCTGAGGGGCTTTCACCCAGCCCCTAGCACCTGGCACTTTGAACTTGGACTTAAAGCCTCCAGAGTGTAAGAGAATAAACTCCTATTTGTTAAGGCCATCCCATTTGTGATATACTCTTGTCAGAGCAGCTCTAGGGAACCAGAACACAGACCATCGTAATAAAGTGAGTCACACGAGTGTTTTGCTTTCCCGGTGTACATGAAAATTATGTTTATACCCTATGTAGTCTCATAAGTGTACAAGAGCATTATGAAAAAATTGGGAATATAGTGAGAGTGGCCACATGTGCCACGGAGTGAGCATGTGCCGTTGGAAAACGGGCACCGACAGACGTGCTTGATGCAGGACGGTCACAGACTTTGCATCTGTGAAAAGCAGTGTCTGCAGTGCTTGGTGAAGCAAGGTGTGCCTGGACACTGTGGGCAAATGCAGCGCTGAAAATCTCCTGTTACCTTAGAAATAACTGACAAGAAATGTTGAGTATTGATGAATGACTTATTGATACTTCCCAAGCTTTAGTGCAAATCAAAATTAGAACATTATTTAAAAGGATTCCAGGATAGGATGGACCTACTATGTGCCTATTTGTTGACATAAGTACTTGGTGAGAAAACAGATTTCGAAATGTGATCAGATAACTGCCTGAATTGAACACACAGGCCTGTGCCCCAGGTCTCTGCAGTATTCATTCGTGTGAGGCCTTGGGCCAGCCTTCAGTCTCTTCAGATCTCAGTTTTCTCATCTGTAAAGTGGGAGGAGTGACCTACATAATCTGGAAGGTACTTTTCAGGACTGGAACTACATGGATGTACATGGATTGTCAAAGTACATCCCATCTTACAAGCACCGCTGAAGTAGCTCTACAAATAGGAAGTTTTTGTGTTTGGTGGTATCAAGATGTGTTAATGGACTTAGCTATTTGGAGAAAAATAAAAATTGAATTCTTATGTCACACAAAATAAATACCAGGTGAATAAATAGTTAAACGTATAAAAATAAATGATTTTTAAAACATAGAAGAAATCATATGAATTTATATTCACTAAGTAGAAAGGGACTTTTTAGCCAAAGACAGAGGGGAAGGGGAGTCAAGAAAAGACACCAGTATGCTGTCTTTGCCTTTAATATTTGATATGCTTATGCATAAATGTACTTTTATACATAAATGTTTAAAATATCTGTTCCCCAAACTACCAAGAGTAAATCTAGAAGGCAAATAGGAAGAGACATTAGCAAAAATGTGGAAAACAAAAGCAATAATGTTAATAGAAATTTTTCTTACAAGTCAAGTCAATAAGAAAAGTAACACATAGTCAAACAGAAAAGAAGCAGATGTTAACATTTAATTTTAAAAAGTACACATAATTACATGGAAAGATCATGTCAGCCTTATAGCTTATCTAGGAAACACTTAAACGTGATAAAGTGTTTTTCTCAAATTGAGGACTCTAAATGGAAAACAGTTGAAAACTATTCATACCCTTCCACCAGGGTTTTCTGTTGCCATGTCTGTATATAGGTTTTCATTTTAAGCACAGGGATAGTATCAAGACCTTTCTTATACTTAACGTGAATATAAAATGACTTGGAAAAATGCTTATGATATAATTAGAAAAAAAGATGGGCAACCATATGCCTGAATGGCCCCACATTACCTGCACATGAGAGACAATCTCTGTGTCTACTTCTCAGTGATGAGCGGGTGCTCCGGGAGGTACTGGGAGGCTGGCGAAGCCCATGAGTGCTCTCAGATGGAAAAAGTAGCAACAGACGATGAAATCATAGTGCTCTTCCATAAAAACGTTGCCTTCCGTTAGCATCTAGAAGGCTAGGGGTTCTTAATAACCAGGAAGCATTTCCATATCTAGTGTGTTCCTTGCACTATCAGTTCTCAGTGAGCCAGGGCAGGTACATATGGGACTAACCCATGGGATTGAGTCCAGCTCCCAAAGACACTCTTGGACAGGTAGGCAGAGGTGCAGGAGCAGGCATTCAGATCACGTCACACAGCCGCACGACTCCGCTGTCTTCAGCTGGGCCAGCGGTGAAACACTTGCTTCACTAGGAAGAGTCGTGAGGGGTTTCTTTCCCCTTAATGATCAGACTGGGAAATGGAATTGTTTGAAGGCACTGTGTTCTTTATTTATTATGTATGTGAGTGTGTATATCTTACATCTACATATTAAAAATACACACGTCTTTAGAAGTGAGCCTTCTGTTTCCCTCAAATTCTTGAAGATGGAGTGAGCACCTCAAGGTATAAACCCTAGTGCATTGTTTAGCGTTTTCAATGGACCAGAAGTAAGACCAGGTGATGGAGAGAGCAAACCATGACAGGAAGTGCTCCTTGGAAGCGAGGACAGCGAGACTTGGTCTTGCTTACTTCAGCCCCGTTGTCAGGAGGGACCATCCCTGGAGAAGGAACCTATGCTTGATAAAGTAGAGGGGCAGCGTAAATGGGGAAGCCCCTCACGAGGTAGCTGACACGGTGGCTGTAACAGTGGGCGCAGACACACCTGCTGTCGTGAGGATACTACGGGACTGACAGGGTTCCATTGTTACATTGGGGGTCACAATGAGTCGGGTCATCTTGATGATGCCACCTAACAACAGCTTTTGATGTTCTGCTCTCTAATTGACAGGACTGGAAGGAAGCTATGTAGCCCTGCTATAAAATGGGGTATTACTTAGATTGGGGCCTTTTCTGTTGACACCATCCATGATTTACTTATTTTTCAGTTTTTCAGCGTAAGGGGGAAAGTGACTATCTGCTGATAATTGACAGTAGAAATATCGTTAGTATTTCATTTTATTCCAGAGAAATTGTCACCATCTGTTTCTAGAACCAAAGTAAATACTAGTTAGATTCCGATTGCCTTCTCAGAGTTGAATACTCTCAGTAAGGGTGTTCACTTTGCATGATAAGTGGGAGTTAATGAATGCCAGCAGATATTTCACGATCTTGGGGTCATGTAAAAGTCTTTCAGTTATTAAGAGATACAACACATGTTTTCCCTTTTATTTAAATAATTAAGGGGGGGGGACTAGTGGCAATTGACAAGTACCACGATTTAGCTTACTGTGTGGTGCCCAACCTTTTTTTTTTTAATGTAATTTTTTGTCGTTGAGAATACACACAGCAAATACACGCATTCAACAGTTTCTACATGTACAGTTCAGTCCCATTGGTGACAGTGAGCTATGCAACCGTCTCACCCTCCTTTCCTGGGTGGTTCCTCCCCCATGAACATACCCTCACTGCCCCTAAGTTTCCTGTCTGACCTTTCACGTTACTGTTGTCAGTGTGATCCCGTATACATCGATCTTAAAAGAACATGTTGCTCAGACACCCTTTAGTAGTTAGGCTAAACTATTGTTTGATTTTAAGAACATTTCTCAAAAATTTACTTCACGTTCCATATGATTTCTGTTTGAGCCACTGGATCCTTCATAGGAGGCTGTTTTTCAGTAAGTTCCATTTGAGAGTTTACCCTCTTAATGTTTCAGTTTGGGTCCTGTTGAAGCACTTAGGCACGTGGGAGCTAAGATAGGTAAGAACTTAAGTCTCCTAAGGTTAAATATATGCACTTCACTTACAAAGGAGCCCTGCTGGACAGTGCTTAAGCACTTCAAAACCCACTGGCGGTTCCACGGTTCCATGGGAGAAAAGGCCCTAGTGATCTGCTCCCATTAAGGTTACAGCCCCGGAAACCCTGTGGGGCAGTTCTGCTCTGTCATAAAAGGTTGCTAGGAATAGGAGTAGACGACAGCACACAACACAAAACAACTGTAATTTATTGAAGTGTTCCTCTTTGGCTGTGTAAGTTTTATTTTATGACATTATTAGTCTCAGCCTGGATGGCTGTTCAATTACAAAAAGAATGAGCTGCTTCAGGGGAGGACAGATCCTCAGTAGTATGTGCTGAATATTTACAGGGTTGGTGGGGCAGAAACTGGATCTGACGAGGAGTGTTTGAGAGTTCTCTCTCGTCACCTCGACACAGTATCCCTGTGGCTGAGACATTGTTCTTTTCTAAGCTGAGCGTTCATGCTGTAAGCATACTTACATGTTTTCTCAAGCCGAGGTTGAGTGCTAGCCTTTTAATTCCAGTAGGCCATCCATTTAGCATGGTGTGTGAGCATCCCTGGTGACTGCTGATGAATGCTGACAGGAACAGGTTGCATGTTCTGTGTGTGTGCGCCTTGGTTTTCATTCCCAGAAATAGCTGGTTCTTTTTGCTGACAGACACATTACACACAGGTGAGTGGTGGCGAGTTCGTTGCAGGTGTTTTGCTTTTCTCTGATGAAGGTGGTGATTGGCATATGTGTGGCTCTAATGACTCCTGTTTTCCTTCTTGTCTCTTGCTAGTAACATCCGCTGTTTCAAGATTGACCAGCCGTCAGCAGGAGACGCCTCCGGGGCCCCAGCAGTATGGAGCCACGGTTACACTGAAGCTTCCGGAGTGAAAAACAAGTACGTTGGGTGAGACTTTGAAGCGAGAACTGCCTCCCGCCGGCCTCACTTCCCTGGTGGGATGACAACAAACAGGACTGTGCACATGCTTTTCCCATGTAAAAGTTATTTGAGGATGTGTCCCCACAGTGAGGCTGCCCCATGACTGATATTTGAAAATCAAGCTTAGGCCTGCCTGGCGTGACATACGCTCTCTCTGTGAGAGATGTTGCTAGGACAGTGTAACTGACACATCATACCTGTGTGGGCCTCCAGGGTTTGGAAAAGGCCTCTGTACTGAAATGCATCCCTGCTCTTTTGAAAGCCTCTTTCTCTTTCTCTGAAGCCTGTTCACCAGCAGAGCAGCAACAGTGTTAAAGGAGAAGTGGCCTTGCTTGTCCCTCCTCCTGGTCACTTGCAGGGCTGCCCCGTCAGTAGTTCTGGGGAGCTTTTTTTCCACCTAAGTGAGCCGGGCAGCAGTCTGATGTCCAGTCACTTTCCATCAACTGTTTTTCCCACCACCGGGACCTGCCTGTCTCCGTTTCTTCTCCTTCTTCCCTGTTCTCAGCAGCCTGTTCTCTCTTAGCTACAGATACGCGTTTTCCTGAGAATTCTAATCAAGCTCTGCAGGCTTGCTTGTGTTTGATGTTGTCGTTGGGTGTCATCGAGTGGGCTTCCACTTGTAGCAGCCCCAGGTATAACAGACTTTATGAATGACCACATCATGAAGAGTTGCTGGTAAATTCGAGAACAGTTGAAAAACCTGGTTGCTATGGAGCTGACACTGACTCTTGTGACGGCGGGTGTCAGGACAGCCGGGCTTTTGGGAGTAGGTCACCACACCTTCCTTCTGGCGCTCCTGTGGGTACACGGGAGACCCCAGCATTCTGCTTAGCAGCCAAGTATGTGACCCATCTGCATCACCCACGGACTCCTAGGAAAGCAGAATTCTATAACCAAGAATATTTACAGTTTAATGAAGGTATGAGAGCACAGAGCATTGCGAGTAGGGGAAGAACAGAAACTGGACAGGGGTCCAATAAGAGCCCAATAGTATTCAGGCCTGGATCCACATTAGAATTAATCAAGTGGACAACTTAAAAGAAACAACAGAAACTCGCCCACCCAGACGACTTAAATCAGTGTTTTAAAATGTCCCTGGTGAGTCTCAGGGGCCACTGACTAGCTGATGACCCTTCATGAACAGAAGCGGGGGAGCTGCTGCCATCCCGACTGGTTCTCTTTGGGGCAGAAAGCAGTCACCTCGAGCTCGGCGGGGGCACCGGGAGCCTCCCCTCCTTCACCCAGGCTGTGGCTTGTGCTGTGCAGCTAGCACAGAGGTGGCCCCAGGTGAACAGGCTACCAGCAGAAGGTCAACCCATTCTCCCGAGCTCTGCTTGTGTTATTTCTAGGTTCTTCTCACTATAGACCATGGTACTTGGGACAGGGAGAGAATTAATGCAGTTTAATGCCTTCAGAGTTCTTCCTGAAGATCAGTCACTTTTTGGATTAAAGGACCTAATGTTTCACTTACAGACTCCAGTATGTGAAACTGTTAAGTCCAGAACAGTGATGTGAAATCCAGGAGTGGCTTTGAAACATCTAAGGACATTAAAATTTATTATCTGCTCTCATATATTAATGAAACAAGTGACCAAGTAGATGATGATTTTTTTTTTTAATTTTTTTGTGTGAATGTGTGTGAAAATATACACAACAAAGCACTCATTCAACAGTGTCTGCGTGTATGAGCGATGCCATTGGTCACACTCTTCACACTGGGTCACCGTTCTCTACCCTCCGTTGATTTATCCTCTGGGCCCCTTAAAGTTCTCAACTGCACTTCAGAATGCGATTTGGATTTTTAAAAAAAAAAAAAAAACCTTTGATTATATAGGTAGTCCCCAACTTACAACATATTTGAGTTACCTGCAAAAAGGGCAGGGAGGCCACATGTTCTGACCTCCTCTAACCCTACAAGGGGAAGGCAGGATTACCAGCAGTAACCCAAGGCCTATTACTGCAAGGCCAGACATGCTGCCTACAGCCCTTTCACCAACCGTTCCTCCCAAGGCATCCACCACCTCTCTCCTGGGTTCGATAATTCACTGCAGTGGCCACATAGAACTCACAGATTACGGGGTTTATTAGGGAAGCACCAGGCTACAACTCAAGTTCAGGAAGAATGCTCAGTCTCTATCCCAGCCCACCGTCCCTCAGCCAAGAGTCTCTCACAGTCTCTTTCCCAGCAGTGCTGGTCCCTCGGTGTCTCACTCAGCAATGCATGTCTCTCGCATCTCTTTCCCAGCAGCACGTGTCTCTTTCAGGGGCGCGTGTCTCTTTCAGCAGCACGTCTTCCTCCACCAGCAGTCAGAGAGAGTTCTGCCTCCAGGAGGTCTCCTTTAGAGCCCACAGGGTGGTCAAACTAGCCAATTATAGCATCAGAACTCTAAGCACCTGAGAGAGAGTGGGCACCTCCCAGAACATTGTTTTGTGCCACTCCCAACAGAAATACTCCAGGTGGACACCTTCAGCAATCGGGAGCTCCTCAGTTGCTCATAGCAAATTCCACCTTGGAGTTTACAAAGACTTATGGGTAGAAAAGCCACACAAAGTAATTTACTACACTGCATTACCTCAAACCACACTTACCACCATCCACTTTTTGTTTTGCTTTTTAATATTAGTAATATTACCACATATGTTGCTGCAGCATGGATTTGATGATGTTATTCTCATGCCAACCCCCTAACACAAATGAAAGTCAGATTTATAAAAATACTCATAATAAAAGGCAATGAAAACTTAACCAAGAAAAAAACGAGGTATCCGACTTCACGCTGGACCAGATTTACAACCGAGTCGTTGGGAGGGAGCCCCGTCCTAAGTGGAGAGTTACGCGCATTGAAGAATCCTGGAGGTACTGGGGGTATGGGAAATACGTGAGCAATGAGAACAGGACTCTGAACCATCCTGAAGTGGACACGCCCGTAAGTCACCATGTAGATCAAGAAGCGGAGCCTTCACAGCCCTGCTGGGCGTCCCATGTCTTCCTCCCCTTCCTCTATTGCCCTTGTTTTCATACTCGTCAGTTTTGCCCACAGAAGTTTCTCAAGTGTTTTGTTTTCGCGTTGTGGACAAAGCAGTGATTTAAGCAAGTAGCTTGCTGCTTGCCCTCTTGAGGGGAGGCAAGAACTGTCTGGTCTCTGCCTCCAAGTCTCACTGACAACTACTCCCTTCTCTCCCTCCCTCCCTCTCAGGTCACTTGAGACTCTTGGGGGAAACCCAGGCAGGGAGCTACACTCGGAAAAAGTAGGTTCTGACTCAGAATGAAAAATTTCATTTCAGGAGGGTTCAGAGGAAAAGATACCCTAACCATGATCATTACTGTCCTTTTTTAAAGCACATTATTTCCTTTTTTAATTCAGAACACACACCCACTTTCTGACTAGGAAGGGGTCTCAGGAGGAGGAGGTGATTGAATATTGTAGAAGTGAACTTTGTTTCTAATTGCCATATCACCTAGAATGACTTAGAAACGCTAGGACAAAAGTCCAACTGACTGTGAACCTGGGTTGCAGACTTATTTGTGTATGACTTTGGACGGTCCTTGACTTCTTGCTTAATTTTCTTTCTGTAAAATGGCACTGAAAATATGCCTGCTTCATAGGGTGGTTGTAAGGATCACATGAATTATGTATGTGAAGTACCTGGAACAGTGCCCACCTAGTTAAGTGTTGTTGCTGTTAGGTGTCATCGAGTCGGCTCTGACTCACAGTGACCCCGTGAACAACAGAAGAAAACACTGCCTGGTCCCGTGCCAGCCTCGCAGTCCTTGCTACACCCGAGCCCATCGTTGCAGCCACTGTGTCTATCCATCTCGTTGAGGGTCTTCCCCTATTTCGCTGACCCTCCGCTTTACCAAGCTTGATATCCTTCTCCTGGGAATGGTCCTTCTGACAACATGACCCAAGTAGGTGAGACAAAGTCTGGCCATTCTCATTTCTAAGGAACATTCAAGCTGTACTTCTTCGAGGATGGATTTGTTCATTTTACTTGGATTCCCAATCAACAGTGGCAGTCCATGTTATTTTCAGCATTCTTCATCAATACCACAATTCAAAAGCATTAGTAATTGTTCAGTCTTCCTTGTTCATTGTCCAGTTTCCACATGCATATGTGGTGATTATACCATGGCTTGGGTTAGGTACAGCTTAGTCTTCAAAGTGATATCTTTGTTCTTTAACCTTTTAAAGAGGTCTTTTGCAGCATATTTGCCCAGTGCAATACAATGTCTGATCTCTTGACTGCTGCTTCCTTGGCTGTTGACTGTGGATCCAAGTAAAATGAAATCCTTGACAACTTCAATCTTTTCTCCATTTATCATGATGTTGCTTATTGATCCAGTTGTGAGGATTTTTGTTTTCTTTTGTTGAGGTATAATCCATACTGAAGGCTGTAGTCTTTGATCTTCATCAGTAGGCGCTTCAAGTCATCTTCACTTTCGGCAAGCAGGTTGTGTAATCTGCATATCACAGGTTGTTAATGAGTCTTCTTCCAATCCTGATAGCATGCTCTTCTTCATATAATCCATCTTCTTGGATTATTTGCTCAGCATACAGATTGATTAAGTATGGTGAAAGGGTACAACCCTGACGCACACTCTTCCTAATTTTAAACCATATCATATGCCCTTGTTCTCTTCAAATGACAGCCTTTTGGTCTATGTACAGGTTCCTCATGAGTGCAATTAAGTATTCTGGAATTCCCATTCTTGTCAATGTTATCTATAATTTGTTGTGAACCACATAGTTGAATGTGAGAGCTGGACAATGAATAAGGAAGACCGAAGAAGAAGTGATGCTTTTGAGCTGTGGTGTTGGCAAAGAATGCTGAAAGTACCGTGGACTGATAAAAGAATGAACAGGTCTGTCTTGGAAGAAGTACAGCTGGAATGCTCCTTGGATGCGAGAATGGTCAGACTTTGTCTTACATACTTTTGTCATGTTGTCATAAGGGACCATTCCCTAGAGAAGGATGTCATGCTTGGGAAGGTGGAGGGTCGATGAAAGAGGGGAAGGCCCCTTAACAAGGTGGATTGACACGGTGGCAGCGTCGATGTGCTCAAGTATAGCAAGAATCGTGGAGCTGGCACAGGTTCAGGAGGTATTTCGTTCTGCTGTGCGTAGGGTCGCTATGAGTCGGAGACAACTCAATGGCACCTAACAACAAAACATAGTCAAATGCCGTTGCACAGTCAATTTAATACAGGTAAACATCTTTCTGGTATTCTTCGCTTTCAGCCAAGAACTATCTGACATCAGCAATGATATCTCTCATTCTACATCCTCTTCTGAATCCAGCTTGCATTTCTGGAAGTTCTCTGTCAATATACTGCTGCAACCATTTTTGAATTATCTTCTGCAAAAATTTACTTGCATATGATATTGTTCAATGATTTCAGCTTTCTGTTGGATCACCTTTCTTTGGAATGGGTACACATATGAATTTCTTCCAGTCAGTTGGTCAGGTAGCTGTCTTCCAAATTTCTTGGCATAAGACGAGTAAGTACTTCTAGTACAGCATCCCTTTGCTGAAACATCTCAGTGGGTATTCCATCAATTCCTGCAACTTTGATTTTCACCAGTTCCTTCAGTGCAGCTTCAGTTTCTTCCTTCAGTACCATTCATGCTTGATCATATGCCACCTCCTGAAATAGTTGCTCATAAACCAGTTCTATTATGTACAGTGATTTTGTGTATTATTTCCATCTTCTTTTGATACTTACTGAATCATTCAATATTTTGCCCATGGAATCTTTCAGTATTGCAACTTGAGGCTTGAATTTTTTCTTCAGCTTTCAGTTTGAGAAATGCCAAGTGTGTTTTTCCCTTTTGATTTTCAAACTCCGGGTCTTTGCACATTTTGTTGTAATAATTGACTTTATCTTATCAAGTTGCTCTTTGAAATCTTCTGCTCAGCTCTTTTATTTTGTCATTTCTTCCATTTGCTTGAGCTATTCTCCATTCAAGGACAAGTTTCAGAGTCTCTTCTGACATCCATTTTGGTCTTTTCTTCTTTTCCTGTCTTTTTAATGACCTCTTGCTTTCATTATGGATGATGTTCTTAATGTCATCCTATAATCCATCTGGTTTTCGGTCATTGGTGTTCAGTGCATCAAATCTACTCATATGGTCTCTAAATTCAGATGGGATATAATCAAGGTCATATTTTGGCTCTTGTGGACTTGTTTTAATTGTCTTCAGCTTCAACTTGCACTTGCATATAAACAATTTATGACCTGTTCCACAATCATCTCCTGGCCTTGTTTTGGCTGAAGATCGTGAACTTCTCCATCGCCTCTTTCCACCGAGGTAATCGATCTGATTACTGCATTCCATCTGACGAGGTCCACCTGTATGATGTTGTTTTGTTGTTGTTGTGTGTCATCAAGTAGGACCCGACTCATAGCAACCCCTCCTTGGATTGCTGAGGCAGTATCACTACGGAAGTAGACTGCCCCATCTTCCTTCTGAGGAGTGGCTGGTGGGTTTGAACCGCCCACCTTCTGATTAGTAGTCAAGTGCCTTAGCCACTATGCTACCAGAGTTCCTGTCCACTTGTATAGCCACCGTTTATGTTGTTGAAAAAAGGTACTTGCAATGAATAAGTCATTGGTCTTGCAAAATTCTATCATTAGATCTCTAACATCATTTCTGACACCAATGCCTTATTTTCCAGTTATCAGTGGTTCTTCATTTCCAACTTTTGCATTCCAGTCACCAGTGATAATTAACACATCCTGATTGCATGTTTGGTCAATTTCAGACTGCAGAAGCTGATAAAAATCTTCAATTTCCTCATCTCTGGCTTTAGTGGTTGGTGCATAAATGTGAATAATAGTCGTATTAACTAGTCTTCCTTGTAGGTATATGGATATTATCCTGCCACTGCATTGTACTTCAGGATAGATCTTCAAACATTCTTTGTGATGGTGAATGCAACAGCATTCCTCTTCAGTTTGGCATTCCTGCCATAGTAGATCATATGATGGTCTGATCCAAATTTCCTGCCATAGTAGATCATATGACGGTCTGATCCAGATGGCCAAAACTAGTCCACTTCAGCTCATGCCTAGGATATTGATCTTTATGCGTCCCATTTCATTTTTGACAACTTCCAATTTTCCTAGATTCGTACTTCACACATTTTACATTCTGATTATTACTAGATGTTTGCAGCTGTTTCTTCCCATTTTGAGTCATTAACTCATTGAGTTGTTAAGTTTTAGCTACTACTGTTACTAATGATAATGGTTATGAGCATTATTTTTTATCCCAAATAAATAATAAGTTTATATATATATGGTATTATCTGCCTGGTAACAACAACAACAAAACGTTGCCACTGAGTTGATTCCTACTCCTAGTTACCCTGTGGGACAGAGTAGAACTGCCTCTAAGACTTCCAAGGCTATAGATCTTTACAGATGCAGACTGCCACATCTTCCTCCCACAGAGTCTGGTGAGTTCAAACCACCAACCTTTCACTTGGCAGCCAAGCACTTAACCCAGGCCTTCACACTGGTTCTTCAAAGTTCAGTTCATGACCAAGGAAGTGAAACCGAAATAGAGCTGGATTTTTAAAATTTGATTGAACCAGAACACTAACTGGAACAGGAAAAATAATGAGTCAAAGCCTTCCTAGAAACATAATCTCCATTTTAGAAAACAAGGCCACCATGTGCATTGCATAGCAACAAAACCTTGTCCATAGGATTTTATGCAGAGTTGGAAACAGTGGTGCCAGGCTCAAAGATGGCAGCCACCCATGACACTGTGGATGTGTGGTGTTCTCCACAGTCCTGACAGAACCTAGTCTCACACATCAAGTTTCTGAAAAGGCACAGTGTGCCCCTTCTGAGTTTCTGATTCCAGGGCTTTGACACGTAATATTTCCAATTCTAGTCGTTGTGGATGACTCAAATTTTAAGAACTAAAATCTCTTCTGGTTTCACTTAGTTAGCTATGATTAAACTCATTCAAACTGGTTCAAACCCCTAGCTTAACCACTGTGCCAACGTAAACCCCACTGTCATCAAGTCACTTGACTCATCACAACCGTCATTAGGTTTCCAAAGACTGTAAATCTTCATGGGAGTAGATTGCCTCATTCTTCCTTCTGTGGAGCAACTGGTGAGTTCAAACCACCCATCTTCTGGTTAGTGGCCCAATGCCTTAACCATATCAAAACCAAACTCACTGCCGTGGAGTCAGATCCGACACGTAGCTACCCCTCCTTTGGTATCTGAGGCAGTATCTCTATGGAAGTAGATTGCCCAGTTTTCCTTCCCAGGAGTGGCTGGTGGGTTTGAATGTCCAGCCTTCTGGTTAGCAGTCAGATGCCTTAGGCACTACACCACCAGAGCTCTGGCCTTAACCATAGCTGGTGCTTAATACTTTTTTTTTTTTTTTTTTTTAATCATATACCATTAAAAATCCTAAGTTATATAAAGTAAATACACTTTTTTTTGTATTTATACCTTTTTTTAGTGTAGAATTCTGCCGGTTTTTACAAAAGCATGTAATCATGTAACTGCCACCACAATCAAGATAACAGAGCTATTCCATCGCCCCACAAAACTTCCCCATGCCCCTCAGTTGTCAGTCTGCTCCCCCCCCCATCCCTGATACATGTTAGCTAGGATCAGTTTACCTATCTTTAATCTGTCAGGAGTCACGAAGAAAGAGACATGACCGTGCTGTTGTAGTCTGTGAGCCCACATGGAGTCGGCAAAGCTGAAAATTATAAAAGGGTTGGACTGGGACAGATAAGGAAAGATGAGTGGACTTAGCACAAAAGCCTCTTGTGTTGCAGGTTGTGCGTTGCAGCCCTGTCAGTGAACAACTTCTGCGACAACCGGGAGGCCCTGTATGGCGTGTTTGATGGAGACCGCAATGTGGAGGTGCCCTACCTTCTCCAGTGCACCATGAGTGACGTTCTGGCAGAAGAGCTGCAGAAGACAAAGCATGAAGAGGAGTACATGGCCAACACGTTCATTGTCATGCAGAGGTAGGCTGGGAGCCCTGCAGTGGCCCCTCTGCTGGAAGTAGTGGCCAGCACATTCATTGTCACGCAGAGGTAGGCTGGGAGCCCTGCAGTGGCCCCTGTTGGAAGACAGGAGCTCAGAGCATTCTTGCTGAACATGGTCACTTCAGGTGCATTCAGGCAAGTGGACATGACCTGAGCATCAGGGGTGAGCTGCACTGCATTGTGGTGTCCCGCCTTGTATGAGGCTGGGTCAACGGACCTCACAGTTGTGTCCTGCTTCCAGATTTCTCCAGGATGTTCACAACACCCCCTTCCCCAAATCCACAAAATCCAGAGGCCCCTTAGACCTGTGACGTGTAGGCTTCTCTTTGTAACAAACTGTTTTCCATCCCCTCATGAAATACCTTTTGTAGGTTTGAAATAGTGTATGCACATTAGCTTGGCTGACATGGTCAAATTTTAGACTTGGGAGTACAATGCTTTTTTGTATGGTGTGGCCTTCCACCCCCCACCCCCATTCATCACTGCGTTTCAAGAACCCTGGGCCATTTCCTAAAGCTTTCACCTTTGATGGTGCTTTAGGTCACCCTACAAATATGGGATGTGGTTTGTAACTCTCGGGGCTGGGTGTTATAAAGAGGCCCTCATTCAAAGAATTGCTTGTTCTTTTGTCACTGGGATGGCTTTGTAGGTTGTAAGGGAATTCCCTGTCTGTAACTGTCATCCTGCAAATGCTTGCTGAGGTGAGACCCACTAGGAAGTTAGAGTGAGTCCTGGTGCGCAAAGGTCACTGCAACAATGGAGATGACCTCTCTCTCCCAAATCTCTTCCTTAACGATGTTTCAAGGAAGTAGCTTCATAACAAGGAGACATATCTGCTAAGGGCCGCCACTTCAGAACAGCCTTTAAAGTTGGCCCTAAGTCAGGGAGGCCAGCCCAGTGAGGCGCTCTGCTGCTCCACACGTCTGTCTTTCCAGTTCTCAGCTTACGCGCCCTATTAGCCACTGAATGTTGATAACAGCTAACATTTAGTGAGGCTGTCCTGTGTCCCAACCATTACTCTAAATATTTACTTTACATGCTGTGAATGTTAGCCTGTGAGATTAGTAATGTTACTCGTCTTACTTTACTGATGAGAAACTGAGGTACAGAGAGCCTAAGACCCTAAGAGGCAGTAACTGGTGGATCCAGGATTTGATCCCAGGCAGTTAAGAGTCCAAAGAGTGTTCTCTCAGCTACTGAGAAAATCTGCTGTTCGGTTTTTACCACCATGTTGCCCTAAAAGGAAAAGCAAACACATACTACACACTGTGCCACACACACACTGCATCCCACACATGCATCCCACAACCCTAGGACATCTACTTTTATAGACCCCCAAGCACAGAAACCAGGACCCCTAAACTCTTGAGGACTAGCACTGCCAGCTGTACTTCTCACAAACGCCAGCTGGCTTCTGCTGAAAGGAAACCGTTGTGCCTTGGAGAGGAGGAGCCCAGAGCCAGCTCGGAGAGTCCTGCAAGGCCAGGAGTTGGGGGCTTCGAGACCCGGATTGGAGGCCCATCTCCAGTGTCTTTGCAGATCTCTTACTTTCCACGTTTGTCAGTAGGATGTGGGATATGGGATGAGCTTTTTGATCCTTAGGAGAACTGTGTGGTTTTTTGCATGATCTCCTGAGTGGTAGGAGTAGGCAGCCTGGTTTCCATTGTTGCTATTGGCACTTGATTCACTTAGCCACGCGATAGGAGCCGGCACTACCCGAGAATCTGCCTTTGTAAGACGGGCGGCCATGTCAGCCTTGCTCCTCACCACCCAGGAACAGCAGAGCCCAGGAAGTGTTGCCCTTTTGGGGGAATCATTACAGGAGTGCTTTAGCCATATTGAACTGTGGCGCTTGTGTTCCGATAAGTCTGTGCGTTAGTGACTGCAGATAGAAAGGTAAATGGCAAGTAGTGTGGCACTGCATTTCTGTTAGACGGTCCTGTGTGAATGTCCTGGAATAGTTCTAGAATAGACAGTACTGTCCCAGAAGGCTTCATTGCGTAGCACAAGAGCATGAATGGTCCAGGACGTAAAGCTTACACCAGCCATCATCTTATGAGAGAGAAGGGGTAGTCAGTCATTCAGAAGTACATGTGTCACTGGGCGTAATATTTAATTTAACCTGCTCTTAAATGGTGCCTTGCGTTTACCTGTCCTGGGAGCAGAGGAGATTTAGAGGTGGTGGGAAGAGAAGTGGCACTTACTGCTGTCCTTGGAGTGATGGTGCAGTCTGTGGTCTAGAGAGACACAGTTCCAAGGGCTTCTTTGGTCCAGGGCACTCCTGTGCTCCAGGGCTGAGGTGACACTCCCTGTTGGCAGCAGCTCCTTTGTGAACGAGGTGTGTGATGTCCAGTTCCCTGGGCATTTGCTCTGAGAAGCTGTGAAAGAGGCTGAACCAAACTCCTCAGTCTCTCTTTGCTCCTGGCCTGGCCTACAGTCTTCCGTGGAATTAACAAAACTCATGCATGATGGGCTACGTTTGAGTTTTTACTCTTTGGATTCCAGGAAACTTGGCACTGCTGGGCAGAAACTCGGAGGCGCTGCTGTCCTTTGTCATATCAAGCATGACCCTGTGGACCCAGGTGGGTCTTTCACCTTGACCTCAGCTAATGTGGGCAAGTGCCAGACGGTTCTCTGTCGGAATGGGAAGCCATTGCCTCTGTCCAGATCGTACATCATGAGCTGTGAGGAAGAACTGAAGAGGATCAAGCAGCACAAGGCCATCATCACGGAGGTGAGTGGACGAATGGTTTTCCTTGGGATGGCAGGATGGCAGGGTCATGGCAGAAGCAAGTTAGGTAGCATTTCCGTTCAAAGAACATTCTCTCAAGTTGGATTAAAATAAAAATTCCCTAGGCATAGTGCCATACAGCAGATTCTGTGTATGAGATGTCCACGGGCGTGATAATACGTGAGACTCTGAAGCATCCGTCACATGCCGTCGGAGTCCTGTCCTGTGCTGTGCTGAGTCCTGCCTGGGCTTCGCACATTGGACCCACTGGACCTTCGTGGCTACTCTACACAGGCACAGGTTTGGTGACTGTGGGCTCTGCTCCAACCCTGAAATGACACTGCTGATGTTCAGATCCTTGCTCTGCCACTGGTAGGCTGTGACCTTTATACCTCTGTTTCCCCATCTGCAAAGTGGAAGCAGTGATGTATCAGAACTTCAGAGTACATTGTGTGTGTGTGTGCACACGTGCTCGTGTGCCTGTGCAAATATGGACAGGTGTGGTTTGGGTTCCTGCTTCCTGTGTCCCATGTAAGTAAGGCAGCAGTTCACCTGGGCTGTTTTGTCCCCCAGGAGATGGTTGGCAAGGTCTGGAGGTTTCTGTGGTTGTCAGCTTGAGGGAGGGGGTGCCGGTATATAGCCGGCAAGGCCAGGAATGCTGTTCAGCATCCCACAATGCACAGGACACAATTCTCAGACACCCTCAACAAGGAGTCAGGAGGCCCAAAATGTCAGTAGTGCAATTACATTGAACAAAACTCATTCCCAGTAAAACTGCCAGTGAGTAGTTAATTCATCGCAGACTGTAGAGCCCCCCAGTGCCTGGGATGTGCTGTGGGGTTCATCTGCCCACACGAAGTTCACAGCCTCATAAAGGAGCAAAAACATCCAGAGCTGGTGGAGTTCAAGATGGGCTGTGGGGGGAATCTGTGCCCATAAATAAAACAGCAGATTCCAGCTGGGCCTTGATAAGGTCTGGAAAGACGCAGAATGTCCCGTGGGGTCTGTGGGAACCCTGCCTAGTCTGGAGGCGGGGGGATGAAAGTGGGTGGTAGGCATTGTCCGGCATCTGGGCAGCAGGCAGCCTGAGACTTTACAGAAGGTATTGGAGCAGATGCTCCTCACGACCAAAGATGGTGTCTTCTTCACTTTGGCCTGAATGGCTGATTATTCAACCCCCGTCAGTTTTCTTGCTATGCTACCTTGAGACATGCCTCCCAAACACATGCACACACCCATGCGTGCACACACATGCACACACCATTGGTCCTCGTGGGGAGAAATTGAAGGTGTTGGGTAGAGCAGCAAAAGTAGGTTTTGCCAAATTTCAGTCTCCACGAAGCACAAATTATGTCAGTAGAATGAAGGAAGCTTAAATGTACCTTTAAGAATGCTACTGGTGTGCGAGTGTGGCCTGGAAGGTTGTGTGGAAAGTTAGGGATGGCAGAGGGTTAAAGCTAAAACCCATTGCCCCCAGAACACCAAGCAAACCCCTTACAGAATCACAAAGGAAAGTGGTAGGGTGAGTAGGAAGTGGTGATTCTCTCCAAGAAACACTTGCTCAAGGGAGACAGACACATCCGCCATAAGGGAGCCTTTACTGGAAATAGGTACATTGTAGGCAGCACTTTGCACAATCACCAAAAGGTAGAAACATCCCAAATGCCATCAGCAGATGAACGGATAAACACACTGTAGTTTATGTATATGCAGCGGAATATTACTCAGCAGTAAAGAGGAATGAAGTCCTTAATGCATGCTACACCATGGACGAAGCCTGAAAACATGCAGGGCAAGGAAAAGACAAACGTGTGACTCCACATACATGGCATAGGAGAGATGTAGAAACCAAAGTTAATTAGTGGTTAACCGGCAGGGGAGGAGCTTTTGCTGAGGGCAGTGCCTTTACGTCAGTGGCGCTGACGTCAGTGGCGGTGGAGTGATTGGGAAGAGGGACAGGTCGCAGAGCATGAAGAACCTACTCGGTGTTGCTGACGATATCCGCAGAGAACAGTGAGCTGGTGGGTGTCCTGCTGTTTGTGTTTTCACATAATAATAGGTAAAAAAAAGAAAGAAAGAAACGGGCGGGTAGAAGCACTTTGTAGACTTGAGAACCTCGAACTTGTAAGACCAGAGGACTGAGCTGGTTCCCGGACGACTCCCTCTCCCCTTGGCATTGTGAATAAAGGTCACTTTGCTGGCACATGGTATAAGACTTGGGCTAGTGCTTAAAGTGACAGGAGCCCGGCTGAACAGAAGCCAGGAGACTGCCTCTTCCGTCTGCTACCAGGAAAGTGAGTTCAAGGAAATTTTTAAGAACTGGCCCTTCTCAGGCATGTGGGTTCTCGCCCTGCTAGTCACACCAGGATTTTCTCCCCCAAATCAATACCGGTGGTTTTTGTTGTTTTGTGGTGTTTTTAACTTTCTTAAATATACCAGTGACCATCTCATCTTCTAGAACTCAAACACTGCCCGTTCTTGGGTGATTATAGGGGGAACAGGACTTGGGGGACATTATGTTGATTCACCTGCCTGCGTGTCTGCTCCCCAAACCAAACCAAACTCGCTGCCATCAAGCTGATTCCAACTCGTAGCAACCCTATAGGACAGAGTAGAACTGGGACTTCTAGTCTGTAACTCCTTACAGAAGCAGACTGCCTCATCTTTCTCCTGCAGAGCAGCTGGTGGCTTCAAAGTGCCGACCTTTTTGTTAGCAGCCAAATACTTCACCACTGTGCCACCAGAGCTCCTGCGTGTCTGCTCGGGAGTATAGGAGGAGTTCATCAGGCAGGCTTGCTGTGCGAGGTTAGATGGTGGTTTGCTTTACACAGTTCAACATGGTTCCAGTAGAGGGAAAGCCTGAAACGTTGCCTGCCCAGCCTACCAGGGCTTTCTGGGGGCAGGAGTCCTGCCCTCTGGGGATCCCCTGCGCTTTCCCTGGGGGCCTGTCCTCAGAAGCCGGCGGGAAGGTCCCAGCCCCCCCAGGTATGGAGCGCTAACTCTCTGGGCCCTTCCTCCTGCAGGACGGCAAGGTGAACGGCGTGACCGAGTCCACCCGCATCCTGGGCTACACCTTCCTGCACCCCAGCGTGGTGCCTCGCCCCCACGTGCAGTCGGTGACGCTGACCCCCCAGGACGAGTTCTTCATCCTGGGCAGCAAGGGCTTGTGGGACAGCCTGTCCGCCGAGGAGGCCGTGGAGGCCGTGCGCCACGTGCCCGACGCCCTGGCCGCCGCCAAGAAGCTGTGCACACTGGCGCAGAGCTACGGCTGCCGCGACAGCATCAGCGCGGTGGTGGTGCAGCTCAGCGTCACCGAGGACGGCTTCTGCTGCTGCGAGCTCGGCGCCGGCGGCCCGGGGCCCCCGCCCAGCCCGGGCCTCTACCCGCCGGCGGTCCACGTGGCCATCAAGGACCGGGCCCCCGACGGGCTGGGCGTGCCCTCCTCCAGCAGCGGCATGGCCTCGGAGATGAGCAGCGAGCTCTCCACCTCGGAGATGAGCAGCGAGGTGGGCTCCACGGCCTCGGACGAGCCCCCGCCCGGCGCGCTGACCGAGAGCGGCCCCGCGTGCCCCGGCGAGCAGCGCTGCGTGCTGCACCCCGTGTGCCTGCCCACCTCCTTCCAGCGCCAGCTGTCCAGCGCCACCTTCTCCAGCGCCTTCTCGGACAACGGGCTGGACAGCGACGACGAGCAGCCCATCGAGGGCGTGTTCAGCAACGGCAGCCGGGTGGAGGTGGAGGCGGACGTGCACTGCAGCCGCGCCAAGGCGCGCGAGCCGCCGCAGGGCCTGCCGCAGGCGCCGGCCGAGGCCAGCGACGAGGGCATCGTCATCAGCGCCAACGAGGACGAGCCAGGCCTGCCCAGGAAGGCGGACTGCGCAGCAGGGGGCGCCGCGGGGCGCCGGAGGCCCAACGGCTCGGTCGCGCCCCAGGAGAGGAGCCACAACGTGATCGAGGTGGCCATGGACGCGCCCCTCCGAAAGCCTGGCGGCTACTTCGCGGCCCCCGCGCAGCCGGATCCCGAGGACCAGTTGATCATTCCCCCGGAGCTGGAGGAGGAGGTCAAGGAGATGATGAAGCATCACCAGGGCCC